CAATTTAAATGGCCAAATTTTGAGTTTCTATTCTGAAAGATTTACATCATTTACTTTTAGCCTGTTTTATAAATCTTATTTTCAAAACCTATCAAAATGCTCAATATCATAGGAATCCCCATTAAATAAACAACAACTTGATTTTTGAATCAGGTTTTTACCACTCATAACCAAAAAGTTACGACCCCCCCCCCCCCGACCTTCGCACTGTCCATGCGCGCGCCGAGCAAACACCGCGATGCGACCAGACAATGCCAGACGGCCCGCCGTTACGCACGGGCAAAGCATAGTTCCAATCCCGCTCCACACAAGGGGATAAGTGTCCACGCATTATCACTGTTAATACCGCGGTACCAGACAAAGTCTGGCAATGGCCAATCCCGCTCCAAACAACACGGAAACACGGAAAATGCGTGCATGATATCACTCAGTTCATCAAAATGACCATGAATTCTCGGATCATCCGATTTGAATCCAATGGCTTCAAAGAATTTTAAGATCATGGCAAGAGGTAGGGAGTCCAGAGGTTTTGGCCGTATATCTGTAACCACGAAAAATTAGTCAATTTAAACCGTGCTTATACATGTAATAAGTATCAACATGGCTCTAAAAATACAAAAAAGTATCCTGGTACATGTACCACGAGGAATACTGACTCCTATTATTAAAACATTCATTCAGAACTTTGCATTCATTTGGATGGAAAAACGAATTCTGAAATCGCGCTTTCCATATCGACCATTTGCGCCAAACATTACCGTGTGAGCCGGAATTTTCATTTAAATCACCGTGTAAAAATAAAATCTACTTGATAAATCGTAATTGTTTTTATCATATCTTTATGGAAGAAAAATAGTACGGAATAGTACACTCGATCGTACCCAGAAAGTTCAGACTTTTACTGAAACAGTGGCCTATACAAAGAAATGATTAAGCTTGCCGCACCTTGCCGCAAATCATTTTTAAGGGTCGGGGTACAGAGGCGAAACGTGAACATTTTGTACAACACTGCAACCAGACTAGTCTACTTTCACATGTTATTGTACGCAAGTGGGATTGGTGCCAGACTTATGTAGTCTGGCACGCGGTAACAGTTATAACGCTTGCACGCACGTGGAAAGCTGAAGCGCAGGCTAGGCGAAGATGCTATGTACGTGAGTACGTTCAATGCAACCATTTCCAGTTCATTCGTGCGTACACTGTATATGCGTTCGTTTCACGGAACCCACTACGGCAGAATCTCGAGGGTTTGATACGGTAAAAAAATTAAAATTAATTAGAATAGAAAACACATCAAAAAGGGCGGCCTCGAGCCGGCCTCGACCGATTCGTCGAGGCCGGAAGGCTCCGAGGCCGAGGCTAAGGCCGAGGCCTTGCACCTCCAAGGCCAAGGCCGAGGCCGAGGCCATGAAAATCGGCCTCGAGGCCGGCCTGGAGGCCGAGGCCGGCCTCGAGACCACAAACTGGATTTTTCATACAAATCTGATTTTGCCAAATTTTACTAAATATACAAGGTACACCTCTTACAATTTAATTTTTTTCATAAACATTTCTTTTTGCCCAATTTTGCTAGAAATACAAGGTTAAGCCCTAACAATCTGCAATTTTCCAGAATCATCTGATGGTGTCCTATTTTGCTAAAAAAAAATGCAAGGTTAACCCCTTACTATTTGAATTTTTTTCATGAACATCTAATTTTTCCCAATCTTATTCAAAAAGCAAGGTTAACCCCTTACAATCTGCAATTTTCCAGAAACATTTGATTTTTTCCCATTTTCGCTTTTAAAAAAATGCGAGGTTAACCCCTTACAATTTGAAATGTTTCATAAACATCTAACCCCATACAATCTGCAATTTTCCAGAAACATCTGATTTTTTCCCGATTTTGCCAAAAAAAAATGCAAGGTTAAGGCAAAAAAAAAAACCAAGTCTCCGGTTTCTGGTATGCGCGCGCGTAGCCGTAGCCATGCGCGTCGGCAAAATGAAAAAGGTTTGTTTTCAATACAAGATGATGTCTCAAAACTGCCAAACTCACTGGTTTGACTGGAATCCTGCTGCTGCACAATTTTAACGTGTTTTTAGATGGGGTTATGATCGAGAATAAGCTTTATGTGGCCTCTCTGGACTCCCATATATTTTTGCACTAAGTTTAGTCGGGCACCATTTGCAGTCATCAGCCGACATTTGAAGCCAAAAAAAAAAAAACCGGTAAAAAAATTTAAAAAAAGCCGCGTCGCCGCACCACTTTTGGGCCAAGCTCCATACCAGAAACCGGAGACTTTTTTTTGGGGGCCTAACCCCTTACAATTTGATTTTTTTCATAAACATCTAATTTTGCCCAATTTTACATCAGCTTATGCTAACAAATTATCAGGTAACTGGATCATTAAACGGGACAGGTGCACATCGGCCTTGGAGCTCAGACCATGTGTCATGCACTCCTCAATGTATAGATGATGCACATAACACTATGGGTAGTACAGGCACAGCTGGGGGTACTGCCCAAACAATGATGAACGCATTGCGTATGCTTAAAGAATTACCCACAATTCCGGTTTTTACCATTTAGGTCTGGCTCTAATCACTTTACGCGATCCCCTGACGTCTCATACACTGACTTAAGGCAAAATAGTCAGACTTTCGCGGTCTAGTAACCAGACTTTGACTCTTAACGAAACATCGAATGAAAAGGGAAACATCAAATGCATATTGCAAAAGATCGAATGCAAATATACCCATGAAACATAGAATACAAATAGCTCGAAATGTCAAACATATGTGTAAAACATTGCTCACATAAATATTGCAAATATATTGTAAAACAACACACACAATTGTATCGAAAAACATCGCACATTTAATGCAAACAATCGAACATAATATTGAAAACATCGCACATATATATCGTCAAAAGCATCGCACATATAAATTGAAAATCGCATATAAATGTAAAACATCGCACACATATATTGAACATCGCACATATATTGTAAAACATCGCACAAATATATTAAACATCGCGCAAATAATGAAAAACATCGCACACTTATATTGAACATCGCACATAAATGTAAAAGATAACAAACACATATTGAACATCCAACATATATATTGCAAAATATTGAATATTGCAACGTTTGACACGCCATACCCTCGAAGCTAAAATCCGGTTCTGCAACCAATGGCAAAATATCGTACTTTCGGCCGGCCATGTCGGCAAGAGCTGCCGCGCTTACGCCTGCCGCGTGAACTCGCTTCATATATATACGGCGGTGGCGGAGCTGTGCAGTGTGCAAAACACAAGCACGTGCTCGGTGGCAGGCAGTTACGACTTGAGCTGATTCTTAGTGACGACTTAAAATCATGGATCAAGTTAAATCTCGAAAGAGAGCTGAGTCAAGCTACAGTTTTGATGTAATTTTTGTGATGTAATAAACTTTGATGACCCATCTCCCAAAGCACGCGCACGTTTTTATTCAAAAAGTCAGGGAAAAGTGGCCAGAAAATGCCTCAGATTGCACCACGTACAGGGCATCTAGAATCCAAAACTTTCCCGGGCCCTTAAGCGGGCACAGAACCGCATGCCCTAGGCTTTGCAGTCTGCGCTCTCATATAAAAAGTTCAACCTAAGGATTTAAAGACCCCCCAGCCTGGATCAGGGGATGGGCCTGATTGAACAAGCTATGCTCACACGTACTGAGCGTGTATACACGCAGTTGTGCGACGATCAATTCACAGTAATCAACTTAAATAACCATTACATGTATATTATTTTGTAGAGGAAGTTAGCAATGGAGTAAAAGGGATTATTTTGGACGGAAATTATCAATTTCACTCCTTTTGCATAACGGCCCGTCGACAAATTTCATGATGCACCCCTCCTCATTAAAAACGGTGTAGCGACGCCCATGATTGCCACTGTCATCCTGAGCTACGAGCCATACACTGAGTGGGAGCCGACACATGGAAGAAGACCAGAGGATAGAAGCAGACAAAAGGAATCATACTTGAATTTACTAAAAAGTGGAAGAGACAAATGAGCTAGATATTTGCATGATTGAGGGAATCTTATCGAATGGAGGATCGGTGCCATGGCTCGGCTGTGGCCGACGTAGTGAGTGAGTGACCACTCCGTTTGTGAGTAGTTTTTGACACCATTCTCATACTAAGCTACTGCCTGGGAAATCCTTGTTTTTAGATAAGGACAAATAAACAAAAAAAAGGGGAGAATTTTATTAATATTCTGAAAAGTATAGGGCTACAAAGGAGGAACTTTTGTTGCCCAAGGACCGAGAATGGAGGGCGAGTGGAAGAGATCAGGTCTACCGTGTACCTTGGGCGACGCGTGTTCACAATTAACTTCAAAACTGACGGAGATTGTTGTCAACTAACATGAATTAAGTCAAGTGCGGCAAGCAGCCGGCAATAAACTACCGAAGTGTCAAGTGTCGATTATGGACTGTACATTTTTTTTTATTGCGATCCACATAGTTTTACAGGGCTAAAATCAAACGGGCAAAAAGTTACATATCCCAGTCTTCCGTCATTGCACTGAGCGGTAATGAATATGCATTTTTTTCGGAAGGATTGTTTCGACATCCCAAATCGTGAAGGGTTTCTAAATTGTTTATGAAATTGATGTTGATATAATACGTCTGCAAGACACCAGTTACGCCAGTCTCCGCACGGAAACAAATCGCGTAGTGATATGATGACGCGAGGCCGAGGAAGGGGGGGGGGGGGATACCGTGCCACCCACAGGGACCAAGGTGTCGCGCATTATACGCTCCCACTACCTGCCACTTTTGGATTCGAGGTTGATTGAAAACAACGTAGTGCCTCTGGCACTTGGCCAAAATTCAGCCGCGCACGCGCGCACTAAGCAATGGCTTCACCGCGACAGATGTTCCAAAGCCGGGACTTTCTGTGACGTCACAATGACGTGCGCGCAAACTTAGAACTTTATCGGCGACTTCTGCCGCGCCTTGGCAACATTACGTTTGCATGTGTTTGTGGTTCGATCGGTGAACACGGATTTTTGCTTTGGTGCGTTTTCGGATGCTCAAAAGTTGCGATTTGACGGAGAAAGTTTTCTTCATAGCGATTCAGGATGTACAACTACGCAAGAGCGTACGCAGCAGCCTTTTCGGAAAGTTACAAGTAAGAAAACCCATAGACCTATATTCTATTTTTTCTGACAAACCTAGTTAACATCTTAGGTGTGGCAGGATATTTTGGAAATGTAGAAGGGATGAAACCTCATGGAAAGTACTTCAGTTTCATATTTGATCGTCTGTACAATTGATCGAAATTTACTTGCATTGTGAAATAGTATCTCGTCTTTAGTCTTCAATATTGATCCATAATTTATAATCTTCTTTATGTGGGATTTTTGTGTGTTAACTATAACATCTTGTATTATGTTCAGTAAGTTAAACAATGAATCACGTGGTAAGAATGATAACACGGATGCCTTGGTGAAACTTCTAGCCAGTGAAACCGTGATTTTCTTCCCTAATGGCAGAATAGCATTAAAATATGCCTATAATACAGGAATTTATACTCCAGTGGTGTAGGATAAGAAGCTGTGTGATGGAAATCAAGCAACAGGAATCAAAATAACAACTCTGGCACTACTGAGCAATTGGGCATTTTAGGAATGCAAACCCTCGAGTTGCTTCTATAATTGTTGTCATTAATTTTAATGTAACCCAACAAATGCGTGTCTACTTCAAAAATTAATTCCAACCCAAACTTAATGTACAGTGCATTCCAGTGAAAACGTTTCTTCATTGAAATGTTAGGCCTACATGCAGACAGCAGTTTTGCTGATAATTGGGGCATTATCATTTTGTTTCATTGAACACTTAGAAAGGCTTGTGACTTGTTGGACCACTCGGCGGGAGGTAGCGGGGCGTGTTACGGCAACTACGGTCCCCGTTCTGCAACCGTCGGAGGACGATGTCCGCACTCGGCTCGCGTCGGGAGCGGTAATCCACCCAGAGGTGATACCCGGGGAAGATCGCGGAATGCCGGTCAGCCCATGACTGGCTCCCGGCGGGTGTCCCCAAGTGGATATGTCCATCGCCAGATTGATTCCGCTAAGGATGAGCGGAATCTTAAGCCACCCTTACAAGGCCCTCAAGTCAGGTGAGTCTTATTCAAAACTCTAAACTAAATCTGGAACACCCCCCCCCCCCCAAGGAACAACTCTCACCACCAGAACAAAATTACAGAACAATTTTTAAATCGCAAGATACTTTAAAATAGGATAGGAATCAAGCGAGACCAAAGTTTGGCAGAGAATGGCAACATTACTGTGATTTTTATTTACCCCAAACAGGAGGCTTTTCCCCCTTCGGCGTCAACTTCAACGCAACAAGGTTCGACCTCTCAACACCGACGGTCCCTCGTTGACACCAGAAGCACGCCCGCCCCGCCCTAGTGCCCGAGTCGACTCGGCCCGCTACGCCATGTTTAATGCCTCATCGCAAATCTCAAATACCAACCGGGGATCAGGCAACTTGGTCGTAGTCGGGCAGTCCTGTAAGCTGACAAACATCAACAGCGACAGGACGAGCTCGTGTCCCCCAGTAGACGATGATGACAGGCCGTCATTTGTCGTCTCAGGCCAGGCACGTGTCCCACCAAGATCAAGGCGAGTGCAGTTATTTCTAAAAAAAAAAATGTATAAACAATTGTTTTTATACAACAGAGACGTTCGTATGCCTTGTTATAATTATGTCTGATGTCTTTAGATTTTAATACTTAAGGGGGGGGGGGCATGGCTATTTCGTAAGCTTAACAATTTCTAAGTGTTAGCTGATGCTAATGAAATCTTCCGTTTCTTAAAACAAAAATGAAAAAAAATTCCGAAACCAGTTTCTTTTCCGCTATAGTAGATTTATTCTGAAAGAGCCACTTGACAAATTGGTCTTGGTTGCAAGCAAATGTATTATGGTATCATCATTTGTCACAGTGAGGAAAAATCAAAGACAGTGCCTCCTAGGCCTAAGGAGAACTACCTCAAACCATGTATATACACAAAATTGAGAACCCCGCCATATCACCTTTACTCCCCTTAGGCCCAAGCGACCGTGGACATCGAGACTTCGATCCCTCTTTGCTCCTCGGAATTGCGAGCGCATGACCACCGTTCAGCCCTTCGTTACACCACAAGGGCAATCGGAAGGTCAAGTTAGTCGACCTTGGTCACTGAAAGAAGACCACAGTGACCCAGGTCAAGTCAGCCGACCTAGGTCACTGAAAGAAGACCACGGTGACCCAGGTAAAGTCAGTCGACCTAAGTCACTGAAAGAAGACCACAGTGACCCAGGTCAAGTCAGTCGACCTAGGTCACTGAAAGAAGACCACAGTGACCCAGGTCAAGTCAGTCGACCTAGGTCACTGAAAGAAGACCACAGTGACCCAGGTCACCAGAGCCGGTACACCAGCGCTCTGATGAAGAATCGAGAAGTGAAGGGATTTGGAGGAAATGGTGAGTTTCAAAAATCTACTGGCAGGCCAAATTTGCGATTTGTCCTTTGGAACAATCATTTCGTCTGCATCGCTGTATCCAGGTGATTAATGAAAGTACATTATATTTGCACACTGAAAACAACTTAAGAACGTGGCTACACCCTAAACAGTTCTTTGAAATTGCCACATTTGCCAAATTGAAATCTTTCTTCTCGGACATTTGTTTTGTCCTCATGGTTACGTATTTTTATTATTCTTTCCAGCATCAACTGGAACAATGCATCGTCGGCAAGGCAGTGCTGCCATGGCTTCAAGACCAGCCTCTTGCACCGACCAGCCACTCCCGATCCCAGGAGTACCCCAATTAGACTGGGACCATCTGCAGTCAAGCTCTCTCTCTGCCCTGATGACTGATAATCCCATCTTATCGCAGGAGCAAGAGGAGGTTACGAGCCTCATCGTCAACTACGATGATGGGTCACTCCTTACTTTAACTCCCAGGGATGATTCCTTATGCAATTCGTCTGTCTCCATCTTGCCTTCGTTTCCATCTCAGAGGCAAGAACCAGCGATGGAGGATGGAAAACCAGCACCAGATGAGGAAGTAGAAATCCCTAACCCGGATCCTCTGACGTCGATCTCAAGAGGTGATGACAAGTCTTCTGAAATCAAGTTGACACCGCAACCATCCCCAATGCAAGACAGAGAAGGTGAAGACATGACACCAGATGACAACTCAGTGTCGAAGCCAGTCTTGCAGTCTCTATCTACCGAGGGGGATTGTGGGTCCTCTGATTTCACGCCGTGCTTATGTCTACAGGTTCAGGAACAAGTACAAGAAGATCAAGATGTAGCACACAAGAATGCAGAATCCACCTTGAAGTCTGTAGCACCTTGCTCTATCGCAACAAGTGAGGAATCTCCTACCACCATCCTCATTTGTCACCTGGATAGGCTTCAAGCCGAAGTCGTTGAAGATGGCAACAGAGCATCAGATCTTGAAGGTGCAAATTCAAGACACGAACCTACATCCCCTTCAAGACATGATGCACCATCTTCCCCAACAACATCAACCTCTTCCGAAACGTCATCGGATGAAAACAGAACCCCTGATGACGGGAAACCATGCACTTTTAACGAAGTCCTCATCTCTGCCTTGCCCAGTCTTACATCTGCAATCTATGAGAAGGAGGCTTTGGAGAGGAATGGAGACGAAAGATCTGATGATGAAGAATCACCTAAACAACAACCGTCTGCATCTTCATCGACGAGAAGTGGTCTCTCCAACCCAGTGAAAACTTTTTCAATGTCACCATTATCAGAAAGCACAGAATCAACAATCAAGCAGGATGAAGACATGGTATCTGAGAATGAAGGAATCATCTTGGAGCCTCTTCTTTCTTCAGAAAATGATACCACATCCTCTATCCCAATGGCAACCTCGTCTTTGGCAACATCACAACATCACAACGAGGTGGGAGAAGGTGGAGATGATATTGATGGATTGGAATCGATCTCGAAGCCAATGTCTCCATCTGAGCTCAGTGTATCCACTGCATCTACAAGCTTCTCTTCGTCTCAGAGTCTCGGACCAGGAACGGAGGATGAAGACTTCATCTACGATGATGATAGAGAGGGTTCCTCATTATCATCCATGAGAGCTGCAGGCACTGCTAGTGAGGTAAAATAAGCTTGTTATGAGTTTTTGCAATATCGAATTTATAATACAACTTTAAGGAAATCTGAATAAGAAGTTTAGCCCATTTACTCATTAGCGATGTAAAGGGTTTCGAAACCTTATGATTTCTTCAAATAGTACGGGGCGCCAGGGTCTCAGTCAATTCATTTATGATAAAAATGAACTGAGTCGAAATCATGAGAATTATTCAGTTTTGAATTTTTTTTCAATTTCTGTATGTTTTCATCAACAGGAATTTCAAACCAAAGAAGCCAAAGATATAATTCACGAATTGAACCAAATGACCTCAGCGACGGAGGACGTAAAGTCACGTATTGAGTGTTTGAAATCAGCCTCTCCAGCAAATCCTGCCAAGAAACCCTCAAATACCGAGGAGGCTAGGGGAACATCAAGTACACCATCACAGACCCTGGAGGACGCCTTGAGTCCTAGACAGGTGGCATCTTCAAAAGATTCGGAATCGTCATCATCCATAATTGCAAGGAAGGATTCCAATGAATGTTTGGAGGATCTTGAAGGAAACGCTCAGAAGAGTGACGCAACATTAAGTACAACAGCACAAGCTCGAATGGACATCTTAAGTCGTCAAGAGACTGCATCTGCAAGAGATTCTGAATCTCCTTCATCTGTAATTGCAAGAACAGATTCCACAAACCTTTTGAATGATCTTGAAGGAAAAGCTCAGAGGAGTGACTCAACATCTAGTACAGCAGCACAGGTTCAAACAGATAGCTCAAGTCTTCAAGAGGCTGCATCCGCCAGAGATTCAGTGTCTCCTTCATCCATAGTTGCAAAAGAAGCTTCTAACAAGAATTTGGTGGAAACTGCAGGAAAAGAACAGAAGAGCGACTCAGATCGGCAAGAGTCAACACCAGCTGGAAATCATGCCTCTTCAGTTTCAAAACTCTCTGAGAAGAATTCAACTTCAACTTCAACGAGAACAATTGTGCCTTTGTTAGAAGAAAATCAGCTTTCACAACAACCGAACATCTCGAAGACATCACCTTCGAAGGATGCATCAGCAAATGACAAGAAATCAAGCATAGCCAATACATCTCCTGCTAAGACCTCCCAAGCAACACAAGGTCCTGAAAACGGAATACCAGAACTCACAGCTGTTACTTACCCGTCTATCCATCCTAGCGAGTTAGAGTTCATTCTGTCTGACAGAGGAGGACGGGTGATGCTTGGGTGTGGTAACTATGGTGAAGTCTTACTGATGCGTCGTCAAGGAGACACCACCCTGCTTGCCGTCAAGGTACTGACAAGGAGCTTCTCACTCTTACAGCAAGAGGTGGCAGCCATGCATGCGGTGATGAACTGCCCGTACTTCCCCAAGTTTGTAGGAGTCATTGACTACTGTTCGTACGCCCAGGAGCTAGTGGGTGGAGTCGGGAGGAACACGGCTTACAACTTCAGCAAGGCGCGGTACGATTACAATCTCTTGAACGCGTTAGAGTGGCTACACGTCTGCCGTGATGTCACGGAGGGACTCAAGGCTTTACACGCTGCTGGCTGGCTTCATAACGACCTACACTGCGGTAATGCCATGGTGTGTCCCAATCCACCAGGCTCGGAGGTGGCTTGGTGTGGCAAAATCATCGACCTAGGTAACGCCCAGCGGACTTCGAATCCAGGCCCACTGGTGATCCTGGAATATGAGGAACAGAATATGTTCTACAAAGTTGCCAAGCAGGTACAAAAAAGCAAGAATGTAAATAATATCATATGCCATCATCTTCGTCCTTGGTATATTCGTCATCACATCAAATTCTAATCTTATCTATAATCTTGTACACTTGTGCATCTTTTCTTTTCCCTTCGTTCCATTCCATGCAGCTTTTAAGTTTGATATTTAAATTCAACTTTGCTTTTGTGATAAAAACGTAATCACAGATGTACATTACTTTGGAAAGTCGAGAATCAAGCCCAGAATACCAACCACTTAATTTGAGTGCAGTCAATACGTTACTTATATGCTCTCTACTAAAGTTAAACATGAACCATTGCTGAATGTAAATTGTTCCCACTTCATTTCTCAAGTAAGTTTGTTTGCTCAACCATTCACTTCAAGTGTGCTCCCGAGGTGCTGGAAGGCAGAGGCACGTTCACCGAGAAGTCTGACATCTACAGTCTTGGCAAGCTCTTCGTGGATGTAGCCGGTGATGCAAACATCCTCCACGGTCTTCGTCTGCTGGGCGAGTTCTCCTGCATGAGACGCAGCCCCGGTGCTCGCCCGACACTGGAAGCCATCTCGCTGAAACTTGACCATCTCATTGCGCAGCTGTTGGAGGCTCACCGGCAATCTTCCAGTCCTACTCCTGCTCTTCCTTCCTCATCCTCTCCTTCTTCTAATCATCGTCGCCATCTTTCTTAGTTTATCAAAACCAAAATCGCACAGAAAAAAAAAAACAGGTCGGTCGCGTCCGAATTTGATGTTGTTTGCTGTGGTTACACAATAGCCCATCAGTAGGCCCTATAGCAAGCCTCAGCAAACCGTAGCCAAACAACAGCTGATTCAGACGTGGCCTTGCAAACTATTGACCAATCCGAACACGTTATCACTTCTATCGCCCTTATCTGGCGAAAGTATAGTGCAACTATTCTTCATATAATGTGTCATCGCGGGGCAGTTAATTTAGCGTGCTCAATGGTTTCTAAATTGAAGGGGTCATTGTGAGTGTGCAAGTGATTACGTGCCCGGATTTGGCTATAGAACTCGATCACGGTGCAGCCATTTTGTCTAGTTTCCAGAAGCATGACATTATGAAATCACTGAGTCCAGTCGTATGGGAAATAGTCACCAGACATGGATATTTCTTCTGAAATATCACGTTTCAAGTGTCATTAAGACCTAGTTATACAAAATTAACAAAGAGATAGCTGGCATTTCTTAACGGTCTGGTATACAGTCCTTTGGTAAAATAAACACGTTTTATGATAATAAAATCGGATTATTGAGCCACTGGGAGAAACCTGTTGTTCAACCGAAACGCAAAAATAAATACCAGGCCTTTTTTTCTGTGCGATTTCGGCAACTATATTTATATTTTGTTTACTGATATCTATTAAAGATGGCTTTATTCACAAAAATGGTCTAATAACGTCAATGGTAACTTAAACTAAACGATGAATTCAAATAATTTATTTTGTTAAGTGACTATTGAAAACTGAAGATATAATTCCAGTTACTCTATTTAAGAGAATTTGGCAAACGTTAACAAATTTCTGTTTATAAAATCTGTTGTCACTTCCAGGAAAACAATAAAATGAGAAAAGCATTAATAGCAAACCAAAACGATCCGAATACAGGAACAAACAAACAAACTTGATTCAAGACCAGAACTCTGTATGTTCCATAAGTGTCAGTTTTTGTGGGTGTCCCAACAACCTCGTTAAACTTAGCTTTCTAGCTCAGAAACGAGGTTGACCCATGACATCCCCAATGACGTCACTTCCACCACGTCCGGAGTTCTGGTCTAAATTTCAGTTTGAACATTTGTTGAATTATTGCCCAGTTTTGTTTAACCGTGCAACATGAAAAAAGCAGATCTTTTTTTCAGTAAAAGAGTCTGAAATGTTATTTGATGAACTTGATGATTGTGAAATGTCACTCACGTCATTAAACCTCAGTCATGTTGTAATAGTTAAAATGCAGGTCATGGACAAGTCAAATTTTATTAAGTCTAGCTGACGGGCATTGTAACATTTACAGAAAAGAAAATACTTTGTATTTTTTTCCCGATCATGATGTTGGTCATTATACGTTTGCCTAGATCATGGAGCCATACAAAAATCGTGTAGAGCGAGAGCTATTCTTCTTATTTACGACTTTAAAACAATGTACAACGGTAATAACTGTAGTACTACATAAAACAATACTATTATAACATCAACCTGTTAGATAACACGACAAATAAAGTGACAAATAAAAATTATTTGCGAAAAAGAAAACTTGTGTTTTTTGACCTTTTTTCAGTTGATGCATTTTTCTTCAAATAATACTGTAGGCTGCTATGCCATCCCCACATCCTTCACAAGATTCCGTGAGGCTCATCAGCCCATCACTGCCCAGCGCCCTAGGCCTATTTGCAAGGAGGGAGGGGGGGGGGTTACATGGTACGAACGATGCACTGTACATAAAATAAAGATTGACATCATGAACAGCACCCCCTAGTGTAATGTGGTGTCCTGGTTAATGTTGTTTTCATCTACGTTTTAATGTTTTTTTCCCCTCAACATTAAGGAGGAGAACGTACTGTTCACAATATTTTTCAGGAAAATAATGTCAGTGATTACAGGCTGAGGAAAAACTGTTGGGAACAATTGGGAACAACAAACGCTGGGAACAACAAACGCTGATTGCCGATGGTGGACCGCTGGCGGTTTTGGAGCGGTGGACCGCCGGTGGTATGCCGCTGATTGCCGCTGATGGTCCGCCGGTTTTGGAGCGCCACTGGCGGACCGTTGATGATGGTTTGGGTCGGCGTGCCGATGCCGGCATGCCGCTCCCCAGCCAACGGTGGTCCGACGTTGGCTTGCGGATTGGGGACTACCACGGTTTTCACCCATTCCTGGATTCGCACCCGATTCCTTTAAAAAAAATAGCCTAAGGTGTTTCGATTGTTGCGTAACGATGAGTATGTTTAGCACACGTATACGCCTACGATTAACGAGGTAGCCGTATGTAATTTTACAAACAAATGACAACAGTTTGCTCTTTGTTGCCCAAAACTGTCAACTTATTTTCGTACATAGAGCCAAAACAGATAGATGCACACAGCAATGTTCCACGTTTCTCTGCCTATTAAGATAAATAGTTTTTGACAAGAATTCTAAGGAAGCTTAATGGCATAGTGGTTAGATTCGTCGTCCACGAATCGGGGAGCCCGGGTTCGAATCCCGTGTGTGTCTTTTTGATTTTCAAACCACGCATTCTGTCTTTATAAGATGTTTTAATTCCCGTCGTAAAATACCAACAGTACCTTAGCTTAATCGGTAAGCACTGCTGCTGGTACTGTCCGCGAGTTCCAGGTTGGCGCCTTCGTACAGGTTCAGGGCATGTGGTCCACTCGGAGGATCAGGGCTTAGGGGCCGCCCTGTTCCTCCCTTAGCTCTTTGCTTTTACATGGTGCCTGGCCCTCCGGGGTTATATGGATGGATAGGGAAGGAAGTGTGTATTGGTCGGGGACGCCGAGACCCCGGAAGAGAACTAAGGGATCGGCTGGGGCATTGTTATGGCTCAGACCGATCCCTGAAAGCTTGACTAGCACATAACTTTTTGATTTTTTTGACCCTCTATCTTTTATACTTTGGTTTAGTTTGATATCTAGAGCTGCTTGGCAGGTCTACGGGTATTATCAAAATTGAAACAAAGGTGTATGTCATAAATCAATGAATATTTAATAATTGACTATAATCAAAACGGAGTTTCGTTTGATCAATTTGACTATCATTATATAATGACGCGATTGCCAATTGACGTAAGAAACACCATAAATTATACCAGGAAAGAATAAAGATGTACATTGTAATATAAATATTATTTATACATCTTTCAAATAACGTGTCTTTAATTGTGAGCATTCCAAACAATACAGTAATTCGCAATAGTAATAGAATGGTATATGATAGCACGATCAATGCGTCTCTATTAAATATAATCTAGGCCCCTATGTGTGAAATATTCTTTGATTGACTATGAGCATTCCAAAATATTCTTTGATTGACTATGAGCATTCCAAACGAATGAGTTCATTCGCAAAATATAGCAACAACAAAACAGAAAGGAAAAAGAGAAAATTTCTTTACCCTAAAAACTGGAAAAATAATTTGTTTTAAAAAGTCAAATGAGACACTTCATGTATTGATTTAACAGTTTTCAAGGGGTTTACCTTACATTTGAGCAAAATTGGGAAAAATCAGATGTTTCTGGAAAATTGCAGCATGTAAAGGGTTAACCTTGCATTTTTAGTAAAATTTAGATGTTTATGAAACATTTCAAATTGTTAAGGGGTGAACCCTGCATTTTTTAGCGAAATTGGGCAAAATCAGATCTTTCTGAAAAATTTCAGATTGTAAGGGGTTAACCTTGCTTTTGTAGTAAAATTTGGCAAAAAAAGATGTATATGAAAAATTTCAAATAGTAAGGTGTTAACCTTGCTTTTATGGTAAAATTGGGAAAATTTAGATGTTTATGAAAAATCTCAAATTGTAAGTGGTGAACCTTGCATTTTTTAACAAAATAGGGCAAAATCAGATTTGCATGAAAAATCAAAAATTGTAAGGGGTTAACCTTTGCCAAATTAGGGCAAAATCAGATGTTTCTGGAAAATTGCAGATTGAAAGGGGTTAACCTTGCATTTTAGCAAAATTGGGCAAAATCAGATGTTTCTGGAAAATTTCAGATGTAAGGGATTATCCTTGCTCTTTTAGTGAAATTTGGCAAAGTTAGATGTTTATGAGAAAATTCAAATTGTAAAGGGTTAAGATTGCATTTTTATAAGCAAAATAGGGCAAAATCAGATGTTTATGAAAAATTGCAAATTGTAAGGGGTTAACCTTGCATTTTAGCAAAATTGGGCAAAATCAGATGTTTCTGGAAAATTTCAGATGTAAGGGATTATCCTTGCTTTCTTATTGATATTTGGCAAAGTTAGATGTTAATGAAAAATCTCAAATTGTAAGGGGTGACCCTTGTATTTTTAGCGAAATTGGGCAAAATCAGATCTTTCTGGAAAATTTCAGATAGTAAGGGTTAACCTTGTTTTTTTAGTGATATTTGGCAAAATAAGATGTGAATGAAAATTTTCAAATTGTAAGGGGTTAACCTTGCTTTTTTAGTAAAATTGGGCAAATTTAAATGTTTATGAAAAATCTCAAATTGTAAGGGGTGAAGCTTGTATTTTTAGCGAAATTGGGCAAAATCAAATCTTTCTGGAACATTTCAGATTGTAAGGGGTTAGGCCTAACCTTGCTTTTTTAGTGATATTTGGCAAAATAAGATGTGAATGAAAAATGTCAGATTGTAAGGGGTTCACCTTGCATTTTTAGCAAAATTGGGAAAAATCAGATATTTATGAAAAATCAAAAATTGTAAGAGGTTAACCTTTGCCTAATTAGGGCAAAATCAGATGTTTCAGGAAAATTGCAGATTGAAAGGGGTTAACCTGGCATTTTTAGCAAAACTGGGCAATTTCATATTTTTATGAAAAATCTTAAATTGTAAGGGGTGAACCTTGCATTTTTTAGCAAAATAGGGCAAAATCAGGTGTTTATGAAAAATGTCAGATTGTAAAGCGGTTCACCTTGCATTTTTAGCAAAATTGGGAAAAATCAGATTTGTATGAAAAATCAAAAATTGTAAGAGGTTAACTTTGCCCAATTAGGGCAAAATCAGATGTTTCTGGAAAATTGCACATTGAAAGGGGTTAACCTGGCATTTTTAGCAAAATTAGGCAACATCAGATTTTTATGAAAAATCTCAAATTGTAAGGGGTGAACCTTGCATTTTTAGCAAAATTGGGCAAAATCAGATGTTTCTGAAAATTTTTAGATGTAAGGGGGTTAACCTTGCTTTTTTAAAGTAAAATTTGGCAAATTTTAATGTGCATGAAACATTTCAAATTGTTAGGGGTTAACCTTGCACTTTCTAGCAAAATACGGCAAAACCAGGTGTTCATGAAAAATTTAAGATTGTTAAGGGTTCACTTTGCATTTTTAGCAAAATTGGGATAAATCAGATTTGTATGAAAAATCAAAACATTGTAAGGGGTTAACCTTTGACAAATTAGGGCAAAATCAGCAATTTTCCAGAATCATCTGATTGTGTCCTATTTTGCTTTAACAAAATGCAAGGTTAACCACTTACAGTTTGAATTTTTTTCATGAACATCTAATTTTTCCCAATCTTATTCAAAAAGCAAAGTTCACCCCTACAATCTTCAATTTTCCAGAAACATTTGATTTTTCCCATTTTCGCTTTAAAAAAATTGCGAGGTTAGCCCCTTTCAATTTGAAATATTTAGTAACATCTAACTTAGCAAAAATTTCACTAAAAAAACAAGGTTAATTCCTTATATCTGAAATTTTTGGAAACATCTGATTTTGCCCAATTTCGCTAAAATATGCAATGTTCGCCCCTTACAAATTGAAATGTTTCATAAACATCTAACCCCATACAATCTGCAATTTTCGAGAAACATCTGATTTTTCCCGATTTTGCTAATGAAGCAAGGATAATCCCTTACAATTTGATATTTTTCATAAACATCTAATTTTGCCCAATTTTACATCTGGAATTTTTCAGAAGAATCTGATTTTGCCTAATTTTAGTAAAATATGCACCAAATTTTGCTACAAAAGCAAGGTTAATCCCTTACAATTTTAGATTTTTCATGAACATCTAATTTTTCCCAATCTTATTAAAAAAGAAAATTAACCCCTTACAAATTTTGCAAAATAGAGAAGGTTCACCCTCACAATCTGCAAGGAAAATGCAAGGTTAACCCCTTACAATGTGAATTTTTTCATGAACATCTAATTTTTCCCAATCTTATTAAAAAAGAAAATTAACCCCTTACAGTCTGCAATTTTCCAGAAACATCTGATTTTGCCCAATTTTGCTAAAATGCAAGGTTAACCCCTTACAATTTGAAATTTTCCATAAACATCTGATTTTGCCCTATTTTGCTAAAAAAAATGCAATCTTAACCCCTTACAATTTGAAATTTTTCATAAACATCTAATTATTACCAAATTTCACTAAAAAATTTAATTAAGGTTAATTCCTTACATCGGAATTTTTTTCAGAAACATCTGATTTGGCCCAACTTTGCTAATATATGCAAGGTTTATCCCTTACAATTTGAGATTTTCATAAAAATCTCATTTTGCCCAATTTTGCTTAAAATGCAAGGTTAACCCCTTTCATTCTGCAATTTTCCAGAAACATCTGATTTTGCCCTAATTTGGCAAAGGTTAACCCCTTACAATGTTTGATTTTCATACAAATCTGATTTTTCCCAATTTTGCTAAAAATGCAAGGTGAACCCTTTACAATCTGAAATTTTTCATGAACACCTGGTTTTGCCGTATTTTGCTAAAAAATGCAAGGTTAACCCCTAACAATTTGAAATTTTTCATGCACATTAAAATTTGCCCAATTTTACTTAAAAAGCAAGGTTCACCCCCTTACATGTGCAATTTTTCAGAAACATCTGATTTTGCCCAATTTTGCTAAAAATGCAAGGTTCACCCCTTTCAATCTGCAATTTTCCAGAAACATCTGATTTTGCCCTTGTTGGGCAAAGGTTAACTTCATACAATTTTTGATTTTTCATACAAATCTGATTTTTCCCAATTTTGCTAAAAACCCAAGGTGAACCCCTTACAATCTGACATTTTTCATGAACACCTGATTTTGCCCAATTTTACTAAAAAATGCAAGGTTAACCCCTTACAATTCGAAATTTTTCATAAACATCTAATTATTACCAAATTTCACTAAAAAAATTAATTAAGGTTAATTCCTTACATCGGAATTTTTTTCAGAAACATCTGATTTGGCCCAATTTTGCTAATATATGCAAGGTTTATCCCTTACAATTTGAGATTTTCATAAAAATCTCATTTTGCCCAATTTTGCTTAAAATGCAAGGTTAACCCCTTTCGTTCTGCAATTTTCCAGAAACATCTGATTTTGCCCTAATTTGGCAAAGGTTAACCCCTTACACTGTTTGATTTTCATACAAATCTGATTTTTCCCAATTTTGCTAAAAATGCAAGGTGAACCCTTTACAATCTGAAATTTTTCATGAACACCTGGTTTTGCCGTATTTTGCTAAAAAATGCAAGGTTAACCCCTAACAATTTGAAATTTTTCATGCACATTAAAATTTGCCCAATTTTACTTAAAAAGCAAGGTTCACCCACTTACATGTGAAATTTTTCAGAAACATCTGATTTTGCCCAATTTTGCTAAAAATGCAAGGTTCACCCCTTTCAATCTGCAATTTTCCAGAAACATCTGATTTTGCCCTTGTTGGGCAAAGGTTAACTTCGTACAATTTTTGATTTTTCATACAAATCTGATTTTTCCCAATTTTGCTAAAAACCCAAGGTGAACCCCTGACAATCTGACATTTTTCATGAACACCTGATTTTGCCCAATTTTACTAAAAAATGCAAGGTTAACCCCTTACAATTCGAAATTTTTCATTCACATTTTATTTTGCCAAATTTCACTTAAAAAGCAAGGTTAACCCCTTACAATCTGAAATTTTCCAGAAAGATCTGATTTTGCCCAATTTTGCTAAAAATGCAAGGTTCACCCCTTTCAATCTGCAATTTTCCAGAAACATCTGATTTTGCCCTTGTTGGGCAAAGGTTAACTTCTTACAATTTTTGATTTTTCATACAAATCTGATTTTTCCCAATTTTGCTAAAAACCCAAGGTGAACCCCTGACAATCTGACATTTTTCATGAACACCTGATTTTGCCCAATTTTACTAAAAAATGCAAGGTTAACCCCTTACAATTCGAAATTTTTCATTCACATCTTATTTTGCCAAATTTCACTTAAAAAGCAAGGTTAACCCCTTACAATCTGAAATTTTCCAGAAAGATCTGATTTTGCCTAATTTTGCAAAAAATACAAGGTTCACCCTTTACAATTTGAGATTTTTCATATCAATCTGATATTGCCCAATTTTACTAAAAAAGCAAGGTTAACCCCTTACAATTTGCAATTTTCAAGAAACATCTGATTTTTCCCAATTTCGCTTTAAAAAGCAAGGTTAACACCTTTCAATCTGCAATTTCCCAGAAACATCTGATTTTGCCCTAATTTGGCAAGGTTAACCCCTTACAATTTTTTATTTTCATACAAATCTGATTTTGCCCAATTTTGCTAAAAATGCAAAGTTAACCGCTTACAATCTGAAATTTTCCATAAACACCTGATTTTGCCCTATTTTGCTAAAAAATGCAAGGTTAACCACCGACAATTAAAATTTTAATAAACATTTATTTAAATGTTCCCAATTTTACTAAAAAAGAAAGGTTAACCCCTTACAATTTGAATTTTTTCATACACCTCTTATTTTTGCCAAATTTTACTAAAAAAGCAAGGTTAACCCCTTACAATCTGAAATTTTCCAGAAAGATCTGATTTTGCCCAATTTCGCTAAAAAATGCAAGTTTCACCCCTTACTATTTGAAATGTTTCATGAACATCTAAATTTTACTAAAAATGCAAGGTTAACCCCTTTCAAGCTGAAATTTTCCAGAAACATCTGATTTTTCCCAATTTTGCTAATAATGCAAGGTGAACCCTTTACAATCTGAAATTTTTAATGAACACCTGGTTTTGCCGTATTTTGCTAAAAAATGCAAGGTTAACCCCTAACAATTTGAAATTTTTCATGCACATTAAAATTTGCCCAATTTTACTAAAAAAGCAAGGTTAACCCCTTACAATCTGAAATTTTCCAGAAAGATCTGATTTTGCCCAATTTCGCAAAAAAATGCAAGTTTCACCCTTTACTATTTGAAATGTTTCATGAACATCTAAATTTTACTCAAAATGCAAGGTTAACCCCTTACAAGCTGCAATTTTCCAGAAACATCTGATTTTTCCCAATTTTGCTAAAAATGCAAGGTGAACCCTTTACAATCTGAAATTTTTCATGAACACCTGGTTTTGCCGTATTTTGCTAAAAAATGCAAGGTTAACCCCTAACAATTTGAAATTTTTCATGCACATTAAACCCCCTTACATGTGATATTTTTCAGAAACATCTGATTTTGCCCAATTTTGCTAAAAATGCAAGGTTCACCCCTTTTCAATCTGCAATTTTCCAGAAACATCTGATTTTGCCCTTGTTGGGCAAAGGTTAATATCTTACAATTTTTGATTTTTCATACAAATCTGATTTTTCCCAATTTTGCTAAAAATCCAAGGTGAACCCCTTACAATCTGACATTTTTCTTGAGCACCTGATTTTGCCCTATTTTGCTTAAAAACATGCAAGGTTCACCCCTAACAATTTGAGATTTTTCATAAACATTTAAATTTGCCCAATTTTACTAAAAAAGCAAGGTTAACCCCTTACATTTTGCAATTTTCAAGAAACATCTGATTTTTCCCAATTTCGCTTTAAAAAGCAAGGTTAACCCCTTTCAATCTGCAATTATACTTGGACGCAAAAGAGATAAAGGGGAAACAAATATTCTTGGTTCTTTGCTGCAGCCAAAAGCAGCTATTTATTAGACCAAAACTTCTTGAGATAACCAAACGATGGACCATCACTATGGTCCCTTAAACTTGTTAGTGGGCACACCTGACCCAAACCAATTGGACCTTTACCTTGGTCATCTTTTTGTGGGCACACCTGACCCGAACCAGTTGGACCTTTACCTTGGTCATCTTTTTGTGGGCACACCTGACCCGAACCAGTTGGACCTTTACCTTGGTCATCTTTTAGTGGGCACACCTGACCCAAACCAGTTGGACCTTAACCTTGGTCATCTTTTGCGGGCACACCTGACCCAAACCAATGGACCTTAACCTTGGTCATCTTTTAGCGGGCACACCTGACCCAAATATGGACCTTACTTTTGGTCCTAATTTTATTGTGTTTTTAATTCCATGTGATATTAACACAGATGTGCTGTTCAATCGTCGTACGGCTGGATCGAACAATAATCTCTCGTGGAACAGCAGGAGAGTTTGCAAGTCTGTGTAATTCATAAATCTCTAATTAACATAAAACGTTATTAAACACTACATTCTACAAAAACAGTTTTTCAAAACAAAATACCATGGCTGTCTGACTCCCGCAAATAAGGCCGAATCATTCATTAAGGCGGAAAGAAGGGGAGGAGGCGGGATGACGAAAAATAGAAGTTTTGGTCAAGTTTCTTGCTGAAAAGCTGCAACGCAATGATGGCCGCCAAGCCTCGTGGTCTTGGCTAAATACCTAGGCCATTGGACAGACCTTTCATCTGATTGGTCAGGGTAAGATATCATGAATCTTCATTGGTCAATCTAAACCTCACAATCTGCATATCAGCAAAACAAGACCATATTTGGTAAGGAATTTGTTTCCTTCGGTTTCTTGCGCAATTGGTCAACGGAACATCTTCAGATTTCGCAACCAACTCGAGACAAAGGCTGAACGTTGTTTGTTGCGCAACTCAAAAACGACATAAAAACTTAAAGTGCACCAAGTATAAAGCATTTTATCTTTCAGAGATAAAATCAATTATACTTGGACGCAAAAGAGATAAAGGGGAAACAAATATTCTTGGTTCTTTGCTGCAGCCAAAAGCAGCTATTTATTAGACCAAAACTTCTTGAGATAACCAAACGATGGACCATCACTATGGTCCCTTAAACTTGTTAGTGGGCACACCTGACCCAAACCAATTGGACCTTTACCTTGGTCATCTTTTTGTGGGCACACCTGACCCGAACCAGTTGGACCTTTACCTTGGTCATCTTTTTGTGGGCACACCTGACCCGAACCAGTTGGACCTTTACCTTGGTCATCTTTTAGTGGGCACACCTGACCCAAACCAGTTGGACCTTAACCTTGGTCATCTTTTGCGGGCACACCTGACCCAAACCAATGGACCTTAACCTTGGTCATCTTTTAGCGGGCACACCTGACCCAAATATGGACCTTACTTTTGGTCCTAATTTTATTGTGTTTTTAATTCCATGTGATATTAACACAGATGTGCTGTTCAATCGTCGTACGGCTGGATCGAACAATAATCTCTCGTGGAACAGCAGGAGAGTTTGCAAGTCTGTGTAATTCATAAATCTCTAATTAACATAAAACGTTATTAAACACTACATTCTACAAAAACAGTTTTTCAAAACAAAATACCATGGCTGTCTGACTCCCGCAAATAAGGCCAAACGCACAGCGTCCCAAGGGAAAGACAGACCAACAAGCATGACCAAATTACACTATGAAACAACAGTCATGCGAAAAAAGCTAAACTATAATTACGTAGGCCACATTACAAAAAGGCAGAAATGGCTTGGCACAGATTATCACGAAAAACGCGATTGCCTAGCGGAGACAGATGTACTGCATCAAATGTATAGAGGGCAGACTCAGTCCACTTGAATTGTGGATGATGTAAATTACTAACCCCCATCCAACTACCCTGAGACCGCGCCCAGCGGTTCAAGGTACGCCGTTTTTTTTTCATCCCTTTCTGCGACCGAGCCCCGAAATAGTACAGACGCGGTAATAAATCGGACCAAATCACTGTGGCATGCGGGAATTGCTCGGCACAAGTACGCATTGATAAAACTAATCTTTGTCTGAAGGAAAATTCATCGACCGCCATCAAATCGTTAGTTCCCAGATGAATAAGCAAAATTGACGGGGGAGGGCCAGGTATATCTGTCAACAGCTGATGTACATTACCTAGTTGTGCACCACTCTGTCCTTGCCACATCACTGTGAGTGGAAGACTTAAAGGGGCTTCCGCCCAACGCACTATCGAATCTCCCACTATCCATACCGGACCTAGGAACAATGCAAAGGACATTATGGCCGTGAATAATCACCGATTTGCTTGTCTGAAAGTATACTGGTCTACACCCCTGGCCAGGGAGAACTTGGCACAGGACGTATGTATGTGGCAACCGCGTTTGAGCGCCATCGACCCATGGATTGTATGCTTTCTCGAGGGACCCCCATTTGAAATGCCACAGAGGCTGCTCCTATCCGCAAAGAATGACCTCTAATGCGGTCGGCAGGTATGTTGTTAAATGCGAGTGCTTTCTTAAGTACTGCGTTGAACTGATAACGAGTAAGGGGGCTACAATCAAAATGGCAGAAGTATGGACCTGCGTGGTGTGGACGTACCTGAGCATATGTGCGCAGCGCTGAAACTGGACAAATAGAAACATTATCAGATGGCTGTAAACATACAAGTTGTGGAGGACCACGTTGATTATTTTTACTCTGTTTGAATGATATGTTAACAGAACATCCGGAATTGTTGTGCAAAAATTCAACGTCAGAATCAGTAATCAAAGATGGTTGGGTTTGACTAGACCGTGAGTTAGCCGTGAATTCTCCAATACGCATGAAACCAAAAAACGCACTTAAAATTGCGGCTGAAAACATTTGGGACTCATACAGAGATGAACAAACATGGGGAAGAGACTGCACGATCTGAGTTAGCATGGGTATAGAAATGGGCAGGCGAGAATCTCGTGAGGGGCGTGCGCGGCGGCAACCCTCAAGTAGTTTGGAAACTAAATAATCTTTAGTTGGGTCAGGCCAACCTTGTAACCTGTGTTTGTATCCAACTGCCGATACGTAGGTAGCAATGGTAGATGGGGAAATAGATTGCAATGATAGCCAGGCTATAAACTGCCTGATCTCATATGTATTCGACGGGTTTACCCCTGATAGTCGCTGTTGACGAAACCGACAAAATGAAGCCCAACCCGTTTCATATGTTTTATGAGTACCTGGTGCTAATGAAGCGTCTAACAGCCGGCGCATTTCATTCTCTACCAGACCGCAGGAAGATGAGGTAACGGAGTTGGGATCGGGTCTGCTTGTGGGGCCAGTTCGCGGAAACGGGACATCTGGAAACGGGATAGAGAGTCAGCAATTTCATTGTGTACCCCGGGCACATGCACGGCTTTGAAAACAATATTATACTTCAGGCATTCTAGAACAAGTAGACGCACCAGATGCATAATCCGTGGGCAGGGAGATGATTGCTTGTTAATAATATGGACAACGGCCATATTGTCAGTGTTAAACCGCAGTTTGCGGTTCCGAAAACTAGACGCCCAACCAAGGATAGCGACCACTATGGGAAAGAGTTCGAGGAATGCAATGGATGGCGGGTGGGTTAATATATCAGAGGACCACTGACCTTGCATCCATTTCCCATCAAAATATGCACCAAAACCTATGCTAGCGGCCGCGTCAGTGTACAAAGCAAGTGTTTCGTTATCCTCCCATTGCCGTCCAGAAAATGCTGATACGCCATTAAAACACCCTAAGAATTCTAACCACATGAGTAAATCAAGTCGCGCTCCCTGAGAAATACGAACTTTGTAGTGGGGCCGGTTCAAGCCTTTAGTGAGGTTGGTTAATCGTCGCAAAAAAGCCCGCCCTGGGGCGATCGCCCTGCACAAGAAATTGAGTGAGCCTAATAGCGACTGCAGTGACACAAGCGTGGCCTTTGTCTTACTCAAAAATGCATGAATTTGATTACAAGTTGCACAAACTTTCTCCTGAGGTACTTTAACTAGGGCATGAACAGTATCTATTTCTAAACCCAGATACTTAATAGTTTGTACCGGTCCTTCGGTTTTCTCATGGGCTAAGGGGACATTTAGCTGGGCACACATCGATTGGAAAACATCTAGTAATCGTGAACATGAGGCAGATGAGTTGCCCACAAACAAAAAGTCATCAAGATAGTGCGTGACTAAAGATGTGTGACCCATGTGCTTAACTTGAAATTCCAGAAATGAACTAAACTTCTCAAAAAGCGAGCAGGAAATGGCACATCCCATTGGCATACATTTATCGAAGTAAAATTGACTTTCAAAGGAAAACCCAAGCAATTCATAATCGGTAGGTGAAACTGGCAACAAACGAAATGCAGACTTAATATCGGCTTTAGCTAACCAAGCCGATTCCCCCACGTTCATGATCAAATCAACGGCCTCATCGAATGAGGCATAGTGAACTGCACATCGTTCCCTGTCGATAAACTCATTGATGGAGTCACCGGCGGGGTACGAAAGGTGATGAATTAGTCGAAAAGTGTTAGGCGTACTCTTGGGAACCAATCCTATGGGGGAACACTGTAGATTAGAAAATGGCCGATTGTTATAGGGGCCCGCTATCCTGCCTAAACTGATCTCTTTCTGAAGTTTTTCTTTAACGACCAAGGGGCGTTCCGATGCTGAAGCTAAACATTTGGAATCACGCGGCCTACGTGGACCGTCATACCCTAATGAAAACCCATGTTTAAAGCCATTACTCAAAATATGACCGTCATCTGGGAGCGGGTAATGTGTGAGCCATTGATCTAAAACGGTCTGATTAATTGGCGTTGGGACCACGAAAAGAATTCCCTTTTGAAGGAAGTTGAGTTATGGAAGGGGGTGGTGCAGTATGGCCTGAGGAAGTGGCAGTAGAAAATGGTTTATTGTAATGTCCGCCCTTGATGGAATTGGTGAATGGAGCTCTGGGCTGACGGGGACCGGGTTGTGACTGCGTACGCTGCGTGAACACATTGCGGGGCGAACCCACTGAGCAACGTGATGCTCCGTGGTTAGGGCGCAGGCACTTGCTACAGGTATGAGCATATTTACAACCAGGAAATGCACAACCGTGATAACTATTGAAAGCAAAGCAGTGCCCAGGCCTTATGTTCTTAGAGGTCGTTGGCCCCATTTGGCTGTTAACAGCACGACTGACAGATACGTTAGTCACCGGAACCGCGGCAACCGTCACCCAGAGTTCCATGTCTATTTCTCCCCATGAACGAGACGGTTCAATTTCCATCTTTAAACGAAACTGCTCGTCATATGTACGCCACCCGAACCCTGTGAACTGGGTGGACGCCATGCGAACGATTTCACAGTATTTTAGCAGTTGTGCAAATCTATGGGTGTGTTTCTCTAAATAAATTGTCATAAACGTATGAAAGGCGGATTGCCATACCAGGAAAGACTCGATCCGCTTTCGGGATGGGCCAGGTTTTTTGAGTACCAGGTTGTCTCCTTCCATTGCAAAGGTTAAATTGGAAGGCTCAGATCGTGAAAATACCGCATGTGCGGTATCGTTAAACAGTGGCGCCAAATCTACATATTGCCCGGACCAAATCTTGTCCTTTGTACTCTGGGCCACATGAAAACCCAACGATGCACACTTACTGATTTGAAACAATGGGACAGGGCGGTCATCCTCTACATGAACTCCACTAAATGGAATAGTCTGCTTAGTGTAAGAAGTACATTGAATACCATACTCACCACCCCCAGGACTACTAGAAGTGATCACACTAGGCCTTGGCACAGAGTCATTGTTCATATTGGCATGAGGCAGTTCATCTTGTAGTTGAACTCGGGGAGGATGCACATCCAGGATTGCCGGCTCATCCGCATGAATCTCCTCTGGGGCCGGGTTGGGGTGCGTTCGGGGTCGCCCTCGTCCACGGCCTCGTCCACGGCGAGCTGGTGGCTCCGGTCCACGACGAGCTGGTGGCTCCGATCGGTGTGTAACAGGTTGGCGCGATCTCTTTGGCTGAGGCGCTCCATCAGCATCTTCTCCGGCTGGTCGAACTGCTGTCTTCTTTTTGTAAGGCATGTCTACAGCGTCAACGATGGAATACGTCGGTGTTCTGTCGTCCTTTCGTCCGTCCAACAGGAGCTGACAAGTGAGCGATTTCTCAATATCTTGGAAAATCGAGATGAAACGTGAAGACAAGGAACAGAATGACGAAAAATAGAAGTTTTGGTCAAGTTTCTTGCTGAAAAGCTGCAACGCAATGATGGCCGCCAAGCCTCGTGGTCTTGGCTAAATACCTAGGCCATTGGACAGACCTTTCATCTGATTGGTCAGGGTAAGATATCATGAATCTTCATTGGTCAATCTAAACCTCACAATCTGCATATCAGCAAAACAAGACCATATTTGGTAAGGAATTTGTTTCCTTCGGTTTCTTGCGCAATTGGTCAACGGAACATCTTCAGATTTCGCAACCAACTCGAGACAAAGGCTGAACGTTGTTTGTTGCGCAACTCAAAAACGACATAAAAACTTAAAGTGCACCAAGTATAAAGCATTTTATCTTTCAGAGATAAAATCAATTTTCCAGAAACATCTGATTTTGCCCTAATTTGGCAAGGTTAACCCCTTACAATTTTTTATTTTCATACAAATCTGATTTTGCCCAATTTTGCTTAAAATGCAAAGTTAACCCCTTACAATCTGAAATTTTCCATAAACACCTGATTTTGCCCTATTTTGCTAAAAAATGCAAGGTTAACCACTGACAATTTGAAATTTTCCAGAAAGATCTGATTTTGCCCAATTCCGCTAAAAAATGCAAGTTTCACCCCTTACTATTTGAAATGTTTCATGAACATCTAAATTTTACTAAAAATGCAAGGTTAACCCCTTACAAGCTGCAATTTTCCAGAAACATCTGATTTTTCCCAATTTTGCTAAAAATGCAAGGTGAACCCTTTACAATCTGAAATTTTTCATGAACACCTGGTTTTGCCGTATTTTGCTAAAAAATGCAAGGTTAACCCCTAACAATTTGAAATTTTTCATGCACATTAAAATTTGCCCAATTTTACTTAAAAAGCAAGGTTAACCCCTTACAATCTGAAATTTTCCAGAAAGATCTGATTTTGCCCAATTTCGCTGAAAAATGCAAGTTTCACCCCTTACTATTTGAAATGTTTCATGAACATCTAAATTTTACTAAAAATGCAAGGTTAACCCCTTACAAGCTGCAATTTTCCAGAAATATCTGATTTTTCCCAATGTTGCTAAAATGTAAGGTTAACCCCTTGCAAACTGTTAAATCAATACATGTACATGAAGTGTCTCATTTGAATTTTTTAAAACAAATTATTTTTCCAGTTTGTAGGGTAAAGAAATTTTCTCTTTTTCCTTTCTCTTTTTCTTGTTGCTATATTTTGCGAATGAACTCATTCGTACGGAATGCTCATATTCAATCAAAGAATATTTCACACATAGGGGCCTAGATTATATTTTTTTAAATTTAATAGAGACGCATTGATCGTGCTATCATATACCATTCTATTACTATTGCGAATTACTGTATTGTTTGGAATGCTCACAATTAAAGACACGTTATTTGAAAGATGTATAAATAATATTTATATTACAATGTACATCTTTATTCTTTCCTGGTATAATTTATGGCGTTTCTTACGTCAATTGGCAATCGCGTCATTATATAATGTTAGTCAAATTGATCAAACGAAACTCCGTTTTGATTATAGTCAATTATTAAATATTCATTGATTTATGACATACACCTTTGTTTCAATTTTGATACTACCCGTAGACCTGCCGAGCATCTGTAGATATCAAAAATAAACAAAGTATAAAAGATAGAGGGTCAAAAAAATCAAAAAGTTATGTGCTAGTCAAGCTTTCAGGGATCGGTCTGAGCCATAACAATGCCCCAGCCGATCCCTTAGTTCTCTTCCGGGGTCTCGGCGTCCCCGACCAATACACACTTCCTTCCCTATCCATCCATATAACCCCGGAGGGCCAGGCACCATGTAAAAGCAAAGAGCTAAGGGAGGAACAGGGCGGCCCCTAAGCCCTGATCCTCCGAGTGGACCACATGCCCTGAACCTGTACGAAGGCGCCAACCTGGAACTCGCGGACAGTACCAGCAGCAGTGCTTACCGATTAAGCTAAGGTACTGTTGGTATTTTACGACGGGAAATTAAATCTCTAATAGCAAATGATTGAACTCATACGTTAAAAACCAAAAAGACACCAGCGGGATTCGAACCCGGGACCCCGCTGTCGTGGACGACGAATCGTAACCACTGGGCCATTTCGTTACCTTAGAATTGTCCTTAAACTGAGAAAAGTTGTCTTTATAGGTGAGCAAACGCGCCAGAAAGATTACTGGGTCCATTTGCTTTACCTTAATAGGTAAAAACAAGTCGATATAATGAGCCCAGTGTGTTTGGTTTGTTAGGAAGCTGCATAACACAGCCTAATGTGCAAAACAGTCGTGTGCTAGGCAGATCATTACGCAACAATGAACACCGCAATTGTGTATTTTCAAAAGGCAGACGCGTAGATTTCTACTCTTTGTATCTGGGCACATATAGATTCTCACCTCCCTCTTCAGCTATTTCGACTTTCTTAAAAAGAAAAATAGAGACTGTCAGCGAATCTCCGGGAGTTGAAATAAGGATCGTCCCTTCGATAGACCTCAGACTCAGTAAAGTTCAAGATTGGGCTCTTTTTCAACAGCTGTTTTTGCGGTAACTTTACATCTGGATTTTTAAAAAACATCTGATTTTGCCCAATTTTAGTAAAATATGCTCCAAATTTTGCTAAAAAAGCAAGGTTAACCCCTTACCATTTTAGATTTTTCGTGCGAATCTGATTTTGCCAAATTTTACTAAATATACAAGGTACACCTCTTACAATTTAAATTTTTTTATAAACATTTCTTTTTGCCCAATTTTGATAGAAATACAAGGTTAAGCCCTAACAATCTGCAATTTTCCAGAATGATCTGATTGTGTCCTATTTTGCTAAAAAAATGCAAGGTAAACCCCTTACAATTTGAATTTTTTTCATGAACATCTAATTTTTCCCAATCTTATTCAAAAAGCAAGGTTAACCCCTTACAATCTGCAATTTTCCAGAAACAATTGATTTTTTTCCCCCATTTTCGCTTTAAAAAAATGCGAGGTTAACCCCTTTCAATTTGAAATTTTTCGTAACATCTAACTTTGCAAAATTTTACTAAAAAAGTAAGGTTAATCCCTTACATATGAAATTTTTCGGAAACATCTGATTTTGCCCAACTTCGCTAAAATATGCAATGTTCACCCCTTACAATTTGAAATGTTTCATAAACATCTAACCCCCATACAATCTGCAATTTTCAAGAATCATCTGATTGTGTCCTATTTTGCTAGAAAAATGCAAGGTTAACCCCTTACTATTTGAATTTTTTCCATGAACATCTAATTTTTCCCAATCTTATTCAAAAAACAAGGTTAACCCCTTAATATACAATCTGCAATTTTCCAGAAACATTTGATTTTTTCCCATTTTCGCTCTTAAAAAAATTCGAGGTTAACCCCTTTCGGCCTTGTAGCTCAGACCATGTGTCATGCACTCCTCAATGCATAGATGATGCACATAACACTATGGGTAGTACAGGCACAGATGGGGGTACTGCCCAAACAATGATGAACGCATTGCGTATATGCTTAAAGAATTACCCACAATTCCGGTTTTTACCGTTTAGGTCTGACTCTAATCACTTTACGCGATCCCCTGTCGTCTCATACACTGACTTTAGGCAAAATAGTCAGACTTTCGCGGTCTAGTAACCAGACTTTGACTCTTAACGAAACATCAAATGAAAAGGGAAACATCAAATGCGGATATTGCAAAAGATCGAATGCAAAAAATATACCGATGAAACATCGAATACAAATAGCTCGAAATGTCAAACATATGTGTAAAACATTGCTCACATATTTGAGAATATCGCAAATATATTGTAAAACAACACACACAATTGTATCGAAAAACATCGCACATTTAATGCAAAAAATCGAACATAATATTGAAAACATCGCACATATATATCGTCAAAAACTTCGCACATATAAATTGAAAATCGCATATGAATGTAAAATATCGCACACATATATTGAACATCGCACATATATTGTAAAACATCGCACAAATATATTAAACATCGCGCAAATTATGAAAAACATCACACACTTATATTGAACATCGCACATAAATGTAAAAGATAACAAACACATATTGAACATCCAACATATATATATTGCAAAATATTGAATATTGCAACGTTTGACACGCCATATGCGCATGCTGTACACAATATGTTCATGGGATGCAATGCGGGGCCTGGCGCGGGGCGCGACCGGCTCGGCAAGTGCTCGATCGGCATCGGTTGCGGCTGTCGGCTGTGGCGATGGGCGAGAAAACATTCCAAAAAAAAAAAAAAAGGGTTAGGCGGGCATTAACGGACGAGAAAACATATCGACATTTAAAAAAAAAGAGCGTACAACGGCCATGAACCCCCTCCCCCCAGCGTACGGTTTGTACGCTCGTGAAAATGTTGATAATTGCGAACGGCCCCTAACAAATCACATTTTTCAAATCAAATATAGGTCAACTTTGGCAAAAAAAAAATCCAAATTCAAAAACATTGAAAATTTTGAATGGCCCCTTACAGGATGTTATAGTCCTTATAACCCCCAAGTATTTGGGGGGTTAGTATAATAGATCCAAATATTGTTACACTGACATGTTTGAAGTACGGTGTTCTAAAATGCTGGAAAAACCAAGAAAAACACAAATGTTCAAGTAGTCTGGTTCATTGACTCCACTAACGATGAAATAGATAAAAAAATGCCGGAAAATTGTAAGGTACCCAGTCTAGCTGGCCTGCACCCGTTCATGAACATGGAACCAAAAGCAAACAAAATTTGGACTGAAAAAAAAACCTCAAAAAACAAATGGTAAATTTGAAGCAGTAGTTGAAAAATAGTTTTTGTATACAAAAGTAATTTTTTTTCTTAAAAATGACTTCACACCATCAGGTGCCATAATTTGACAGGATGCTTTAGACTGCCAGTTACCAACATCCTAGTAAGGTATTTCGTAACAACTTGGTTGTTTTATTTTTCGATGTTTGCCAATGTTGTATTTTCCCTTTAAATTTCGTCCGGAAAAGATAATCTCAATTTTTGAAAAAGCATATATAGGCCCTACACACCAACTTGAGTTGAGTTATTGATATGTTTATGTAAGAACAAAGGATCACGAAATTAAATCCTTTCAAGTACAATCAATTATTTTGTTTAAAAAAATGCATCTTTAAACGGTGTGATAAATTTTAGTAAACATTCTATGTACTCATGCAAGTTATTTCTGGCTTGATGACGTCATGATCCAAAACGGGAAGTGGATACTGATTTAGTTCCGACTGGATAAATGCTCGTTGTGAAGTTAAATAACGTATGAAAATATGGAAAATATACCTGTATGTATTCATCACACCTAACTTCCAGTTTGATGACT